CCCGTGGGCAGCCTGGGCTGGAGCAGGTTTTTGGCAGGAGCTATGGACACATAGAGACAAAAGCCCACGCTGGGGCAGGTTTGCTGGCAGGACTTGTGACCCTGGGGGGAGCCACGCTGGAGCAGGGGAAGAGTATGAGGAGTTATCCCTGTGAGGAGGAAGGAGCAGCAGAATGTGTAATGAACTGACCACAATTGCTATCCCCCTGCGCTGGTCTGGGGAGGAGGTAGACAAATTGGAAGCAAAGCTGAGCCTTGGAAGAAGGGAGGGGTGGGGAGAAGGGTTTTTAATATTTGGGTTTAGTTGTTTTCTACTTGTGATTTGATTTGGCAATAAATTAAATAAGTTTTCCCCAAGTCGTGTCATTTTTTCCCATGATGGTAACTGATCTCTCCCTGTCCTTACTTTTCCCACAAGCTTTTCATCATATCTTCTCTCCCCTGCCCAGCTGAGGAGGGGAGTGATAGAGCAGCTTTGGTGGGCACCTGCCTCCAGCCAGGGTCAAACCACCACACACAGACACGACTACTGTTCCAATTTTGATGTCGTATCAAGGAGTTTCAAGCTGTATTGAGATGTCACTTGGTGTTTAGTTGCTGGTCTCTTTTAATGATGTTTAATTCTGATTGGAGCCACTTTTTTTGTGGGTCAATCTTAGCCCAGTTGTATTCATTACACACTTGATAGGTGGCCTGCTTCTGGTTATTGCACCTGTTGGTACGTCTATTCCCTGTTTTTTTCCTGTCTCTGCGTTCAGAGTAGCGTTGTAGAGATCCGTCTCTTTGCCAAGAGATAGTCAAGTTAGATACTAAATTTGGAATTTTTTTCCAGTGACCAAATATTTTTCCTCTCTTTTAAAGTACATTCCAAGTCTGTCCTTCACGTAAGGTCAGAAAGTGCATTTGGATTCCTGTTGATGGGATGTTCTGACACAGTGCGTCTCATTTGACATTACTCACATGATACCATTTTTGCTGTACGAGTGATGAGGCTGGGATGTGGCTTAATTTGTACTGAGTGTCTGTAGTCAATATAATGAACTTTTTAGCTTTGAGGTTCTAACATGCAAGTTATTACCATCTCATGAAAGTTTCTGAGATGTTGGTTAGTCCTTTCTGATACTCCTAATTCAAAAAATGAAGTTATACCAGCTGATTCTAGGTAGTTGCATTAGTTTGGTCATCTATAGTGTGAGGCCAGAGGCGTGCCTGATAAGCAGCTATCTCTTTCTTTGAGACAGTTTGTGAGACGTTCACCTTAATGGCTCCTGTCAGATTATTCTGTTCTCTCTCCTTTCAGGGAAAAGATATTTGCGAGTACTGAGTATTTAGCATCTGGTGGGACTAAGCTGTGCGCTGTAGTCCATAATTGAATGTTTCTCTCTACTGGAATATTCAGGCAATGAGTATTTTCACCAAGCTTGTCTGGGAGAATAAAGTTGCTTAAATTCTATCGTTACCGTAAGTAACTGCAAGACAAAAAAAGACAAACAGGCACTGCTGTCCAGGAAGCTCAGTGTTTTGTGGAACTGAAAACATTTAAGTGTCTGTGTTAATTGTTATTATTTAGGGCTTACAGCTTGTTGGGGGAACTGAGAAAAGAGCAACAGAGGTTAGCTGATTGCAGTGACTGGTAGCAAATTTTGTTGACTGTTGTGCATAGGGGCTGCTGCAAGTGCAGGTATGGAAAGACTACTGAAAGTTCTTGCAGCACCTTTAGCATCTATACAACTGCACTGCATTCCCAAATAAATGCAAAAACTGTAAAGGCTATAGAAAGCTCAAAGAACGTAAAACTAGTCCCACAGAGCATTGTCATTATATGGTGTACTTCTGGAAATTTCAAATTATTAAGAAAAAGCCACTGTGTTCCAACTGGGAAAGTATTAGCATGAACATGTGCCCTATTATCAGAAATAAAATGAAGCTATACAGTATAATGGAATTTTGAGACCTACAAACAACCTACCAACCGTCCTTAGCCTGCTCTGTTGCATTCCCTTCCTTGTACTCCTGAATCTCACAAAACAAACTGTGTAACAATACCTTGCTATGTTCTGCTCCTAAGTCGTTGAAAAGAGGAATCTGATTACAGCGTTTTGTCTTAGAAAGTGCTCGTGCAGCTATTTGTACTCCAACTCATTACACTTTGTTTCTCATTTAAAAATATTTTAAAACTCTCTTCCATTTCTATATGGGTGTTTAGATTTAGTGCGTTCTCCAGAAATTTAGACAAATCACAGAATGACAGAATTGTAGGGGTTGGAAGGGACCTTTGGAGAGCATCTAGTTCAACCCAACTGTCAAAACAGGTTCACCTAGAGCAGGTTGGGAAGGAATGCATCTAGGTGGGTTTTCAGTATCTCTAGATAAAAAAAATGCCCTGGCAAATCTGAGAGGCCCCCACTTTCCACAGTCAGTACAGCCATCCACCTCTTGGAAAAATGAGCTCTAACTGGCTATATTTTTTAGCAAATACCTAGTTTTCTTTGCTGCAGTATCCTAAATGCAGATGTGAGAAGGACCTGATCATGGCATTTTCTCAGCCAGGTGAGTATTAACTTAGGACAAAGCAACAGGAGATCCTGGCTGACCCATAAATGTTGTTTTGACCTGAAATGTGCTGCTATTGCTGAGTTCCCCAAAAGGACCTGAGGAAGAAAGCAACAACTCACTGCCACCTTGGCCTTGCCCTGTCAGCAAACCCCACTGGAGAAGAGCTCTTCCCTTTGTCCCACAGTGGCCAGTACCAGAACATAGCCACCTTGACAGAATCATAGAATCACAGAATGATTTGGGTTGGAAGGGACCTTAAAGGTTATCTAGTCCCAACCCCCCTGCCATGGGCAGGGACTCCTTCCACTAGACCAGGTTGCTCAAAGCCTCATCCAGCCTGGCCTTGAACACTTCCAGGGATGGAGCATCCACAGCTTCTCTGGGCAACCTGTTCCAGTGCCTCACCACTCTCGCTGGGAGGAATTTCTTCCTGATATCTAATCTAGATCTCCCTTCTTTCAGTTTAAACCTGTTACCCCTTGTCCCATCACTACAGGCCCTTGTAAAAATAGCCCCGCTCCAGCTTTTTTGTTGGCCCCTTCAGGTGCTGTAAGGTCTCCCGCGAGCCTTCCCTTTTCCAGGCTGAACAAGCCCTCTGTCTCAGCCTGTCCCTATGGCAGAGGTGCTCCAGCCCTCGGAGCATCTCCATGGCCTCTTCTGGACTCGCTCCAACTGGTTGGTGTCTGATATTGAAACTCCACAGCTGGACACAGTGCTCCAGGTGGGGTCTCAGTAGAGCAGAGTAGAGGGGGACAATCGCCTTCCTCCTCAGGCACCTCTCCTGTTCTCCATAACCTTTCAAAGGTGATGGAGAGCGACTTTGCAATAGTATCTGCCAGCTCATGTCAGCACTTGTGGGTGCATCCCATCAGGGCCTATGGATTTGTGGCTTTTCTCTATGATCTCTTAACCCTGGATTTGTGGCTTGCCTAGATGATCTCTAACCCAATCCTCCTCGACCAAGGGAGAGTCTTCCTTTCTCCAGTCTCTCTCTCTCTTGCCTCCAGGATCTTTAGTGCTCAGGCCAGCCTTCAGGAATTAAAGACTGATGCAAAGAAGGCTCTGTCCTTTATTGCACCATAGTACTTATTACACTAGAGTATTGTCACAGCATGTTTTGCTGGAAAAGTGGATCCACCTTTATATAGATGTTACGCCAAGTGCTGACAGATTTCTTAGGAACTCCGGTAAGTCTGTTTTCTCATCAGTATGTCTAGAAGATTTATAATGATGTAGCAAGGCAGCTGAGTCTGCAGAGATTACTTGAATCTCTTACCTGTACTTAAAAGAAGTGTCTCAGGTTGTTAAAAATGCAGTTTTCTGTGGCTTGACTTACCTGATCTTAGGACTCCTTCTTTCTCTGTCTTGTAGAAACTGGTTGCAGACCCCTGAGCAGAGTGCTCAGAAAAATACAACTGAAAAGTTTGGTGAAGGTTTCTCTAGTGCTTATCTAATAATCTGTATCATTTTTACAAAAAGTTTCTAAAAAAACTTGGAAAAAATAAAATGAGAAAAAATTCAGGAAGCTAAAAATCTGAAATAAACAATTAAAAAATGAATAATAAGATGCAGTGAATACTTCTTCATATAAGTTAAGATAGCGATGCTGTATGTACTTACCATATGTAATCACGCACATTTTGCTACTACACAGTGCTGGTTTACTTCAGGTGAGCAGAACCTCTGTAATTTTAGGGTTCCTCATTTCAGTGTGTCTTTTATTTGGTTTGGATTTATTCTCTTCCATTGAGTCATCTTCTGGTGCGTTAAAATGAAACCTCAGATGAAATTCTAGGAGTCACATTTTCAACAGTCAGTTGAAACAGTCACAATCTGGTTGTTCTTTTTTCTTTACCCACAGGGTCTTGTTTGCCCTCAGAGCCTTGGTGACTGGGCAACCCCACTGCCTGCCCTAAGCCTAAGTCACTTGAGAGTAGCTGGTGCTGCACCACACTGAAGCGGTGTCAAGAGGCAATCTAAATTCCACCTGTCTTTAGTTTCAGAATGGCTGCGGTTATTGCCTTTCCTGGGCGTGCTGGCCTTGCTTGGTTACCTCGCTGTTCGTCCCTTCCTCCCCAAGAAGAAACAGCAAAAGGATAGCTTGATTAACCTCAAGATCCAGAAGGAAAATCCAAAAGTAGTGAATGAAATAAACATTGAAGATCTGTGCCTCACTAAAGCTTACTGCAGGTGTTGGCGTTCTAAGACGGTAAGACGCTGCGCTGCTGTAGGAATAGAGATTGACTTGCGTATTTTTATCGGTGCTTGGGTACTGAATTGCTGCATATTGACTTGTTGCTTTTTTCTGGAGGTAGAATGTGCTTCTGGTTCTTGACAATGGCACAGTTCTTATTTTTCTCCACTGTAAGCCTACCTGTATGCAGAAAGAAACTGTAGAAACTTCTAAGAAACACAGTAGTGTTTTTCTAGAAACAGTGACCACCTGGGAGTAGATTAAAACCAAGCAAGTCTTGTTTAGTATTTTGAAATACACTGCAACTAATTAGAAGATAACTGTTTTGCAAAAACAGTGCTTGGCAAGTTGTTTGTACTAGAGTGAAAGTAAGGCTGGACCTGTGTTGGTGAGGGAGAGCATATCCCCGTCTAGTCCAGAGCAGTAGATGACTGGTTTGATGGTCTGTATCCCCCAAATCAACTAGATTACCCGAGTATTTTTCATCTACCCTCAATTTCTTTTGAGTTATCTGACGGCACTCATGTTTTGTCCTCTCTGGACTAAATGCTTTCCTGTTTTAACAAAAAAGTCTGCTCTGGACCAAAGAAACTTTCTCCACTACTCTCCCTTCAGAAGAATCACTTCAGCAAAATGTTTCGGCTTTCCTTAAAACAGTACTTTCTGGTTGCAAACCATGAAATCTATTAAGAGCACTTTTACTAGTTCTACAACAAATCTGAAGTTGTTTGTGGTTGCAATGGCTGCTTTGCTTGTGGTTCTTCCATGGGAAAAGGCTTTGACCCTGGCTTTGTGTCTAAGAACAGCTCTTTTAGAACCTCCCAGACTTCGTTACCTGTTAGCAGTGGGTTTTTTCCTTAGCAGACACACGACAGGTTACTAGGAGACGTGGAGTTTGATGTTGAAACAGGACACATTAGGTGGAATTAGCAACCTTATCAAAGTCTTCTTGGCATAGGAAGGAGTATAAAAATCACTGTGCGATTGCTGTACAGAGTTACACTAATTCCTCATGTATGTTTTCTTCCAGTTCCCTGTCTGTGATGGCTCCCACAACAAGCACAATGAATTAACAGGAGATAATGTAGGTCCACTAATACTCAAGAAGAAAGAAGTATAGCAGATGCTTAATCCACTAGATCATGACTGATGATAAGTCTTTTTATACTGGTGTAGTTGTAAGGGTCAGCATTTTATTGTGTGATTGGTATGATTTAGTCTAATGATTGCTGTAGATTTCTTTTTGGAATAAACTGCATTTACAGAGTGCTAAATCTGCCACTGTTTTGGTAATTTATTCTGAGAAGAATTATGTCTTGCTTTGTAAAACTGTAAAGTAACTAGCTCTGTAAATAAGTCGTTTGTTTCAACAATAAAATTACTTCCTACAATTAAGCCTTCTTTTGTATGAACATGCAATTCTAAAACTCGCTATTGTCAAGTGATGGAAGGGCACCTTTCAATTGATTTTGTTCTGCTGGGAAGACATGTTTTTTCTGCTTTTCAGGAAGAAATTTAAGTTCACTTAAATGTGGTGGGGGAAAAGACACTAAGTTCATCCTTCGTGACTATACAGAAGCGTACCACTGAGGGCAGGTGGCATAGCAATGTTGAGTTACGCTCGGAGAAGGTCTGGCCTGTGCGGTGTTAGGCTCATGCAAAACAGCCCAACTCAGACAAAACCCACAGAGCTGGAAAGTCTCATATGATGTCCTAGGTGGAGCGCTGCAGTTCCAGACCATATAAACGCAACTGCCATGAACAGTTCATTAATGGTAGGTCAGCCATTAACATTATCCCTTAATTCTGGGCCTGTGTTGATTGTTTGTGAGCTCTTGCAAGGAAACACAAATGTGCTGCTTGCAAGTTCACTTTCACTGCAGCTGCTGCTTTTTGTAGTGGGGACTTCTGTGGGAGGAATTGGTTCAGTGACAGAACCAAGAAAGAGCTGAGCTGTATTTTTTACTTGTTATCCATTCAGAATGATTATTCGGGCAAGTCAGAGCCTTTCTGTGGTATGGTTTAGTTTCATATGCAGGTAAATAATTGCTATTTACCTAACTGCTAGACTCCTAATTAATTCTTCTAAATGGCTTTATTCTCCCATGTAATACTGTATCCATCAGTTTAAAACCAGAAATTTGATCCATGCTACAATTTTAGACAATAGTACTAAGGCAGATTTCAGCTGTTCCTTAACAGCATTTCATTTCATCCGTTGTTAGGCAGGTGGGAAGGCCCAGAGTGGTGTGCCATTGCCAAAGCTGATAACCACGGTGCTGAAAAGGAAAGGAAGTCAGAAAGCAGCTCTTGCAGCAGCAGTAGAACTAAGGTAGATCGTTCTTTCTGCACTTGCAACAGTTGTAGGTACCTAAACTCCTTGCCTTGCAGCAAAAGATGGCGAATTAGGATGTGACTGTATGTTAAATGTCTGCATTTACAAAGTGTGTAATAAAACCATGGCACCATCTTTAATATTGAAATGCTTCATGGTGGCGTTACGTAGTGGATCAGCAAACCATGAACGTTATATTAGGATAAAACATTTATCAGAGAGGAAAGTCCATAAGGTCATTAAGTGTCTGATACTTAGTCTTCACTTAGATGCTGTATATTAAGCATGAAGCACCAGTTCTTGGGTTTGGTAAAGAAATTGCTATGTGAAACTCAAAAGCCTGTCTTTAGATTTATTTTTTCAGGCTTTAAAATCCACAGCCTGTTGTAGCAGGCTGCTACCGTATGCAAGTCTGTATGCGCTTCCAGCTTTGTCAGGATACTTTTCCATTCAAATAGTTTGCTTTCCTCCAAAGTCTGAGAAGGAAAGTGTGTAACCAGTCATGTTCTCACCGTATTCTGGGCTGTATCCGGAGAGGTGTGGCCAGCAGGTCGAGGGAGGTGATTCTGCCCCTGTACTCTGCTCTGGTGAGACCCCACCTGGAGTGCTGCATCCAGCTGTGGAGCTCTCAGTATCAGAAGGATATTGACCACTTGGAGCAAGTCCAGAGGAGGGCCACGAAGATGATCAGAGGGCTGGAGCACCTCTCCTATGACGAAAGGCTGCAAGAATTGGCCTTGTTCAGCCTGGAGAAGAGGAGGCTCCGAGGAGACCTCATTGCAGCTTTCCAGTATCTGAAGGGGGCCTACAAGGGTGCTGGGAGAGGACTTTTTACAAGAGCCTGTAGTGACAGGACAAGGGGTAATGGGTATAAATTGAAATCAGGGAGGTTTAGATTAGATGTCAGGAAGAAATTCTTCACAGAGAGGGTGGTGAGGCACTGGCACAGGTTGCCCAGAGATGTTGTGGATGCCCCATCCCTGGATGTCTTCAAGGCCAGGCTGGATGAGGCTTTGAGCAACCTGGTCTAGTGGAAGGTGTCCCTGCCCATGGCAGGGGGGTTGGAACTAGATGATCTTTAAGGTCCCTTCCAACCCAAACCATTCTATGATTCTATGGTTGTGCTACTCGGATGAACCCTGTTAGAGTAACACAGATAAATTGATTTTGTTTCTCCCACAAAGCCCCTGTCAAAGGATAACAACAGTGTAAATTTTAACCTTTTGGCTCCATCTCCAGCATGGCTTGATTGTGCAATTCATTTTTTCTTCCTGATTGCTTGCATTGGGTTTGTGTGGCAAGGTTTTGGTAGTGGGGGGAGCTGCAGGGATGGCTTCTGTGAGAGGCCTCTAGAAGCTTCCCCTATGTCTGACAGAGCCAATGCCAGCCGGCTCCAAGTTGGACCTGCTGCTGGTCGAGGCTGAGCCCATCAGCAATGGTGGTAGCACTGCTGGGATATCGTGTTTGAGAAGGGGAGAAGCCTGTGCAACAGTAGTTGCAGCCAGAGAAGTGAGAATACGTGACAGAACAGCTCAGCAGACACCCGGGTCAGTGGAGGAGGAGGGGGAGGAGGTGCTCCAGGTGGTAAAGCAGGGACAAGACCTGATGCTGGAGCAGGCAGCTGCACCCAAAGAAGCCCATGACTTATGGGATGCAGGCTGCTCCTGAAGGACTGCACTCCATGGAAGGGGTCCACACAGTTCGTGAAGAACTGCAGCCTGTGGAAAGGACTGACGTTGGAGAAGTTGGTGTATGGCTGTCTCCCGTGGGAGGGACCCCACGCTGGAGCAGGGGCAGAGTGTGATTAGTCCTGTCCCTGAGGAGGAATAAGCGGCAGAGACAGTGTGTGATGGAATGACCATCACCCCTGTCCCCTTGCACCATGGGTTGGAGGGAGGATCGGTAGCAAGCGGAGCTGGGAAGAAGGGGTGGGGGAACGTGTTTTAACATTTGGTTTTTATTTCTCACTACCCTACCCTGGGTACCAGCATCCAGCTGACGGATTGCTGTTCCATAAGATTACTACTAAACTCTCTTAAAATGTGGCTATGGAACAAATGGGTGGGTTTTGTTTGGTTTTTAGTAATTTCCACAAGATTATTGTCTATAATATACATACCTGTATTATCTATAGAATGAAAATCATGAGTAAAATAAATGACCATTTCCTTGCTTTTCAGAATATGTCAAGGTCATAACTGTCTCATGGCCACAGAATTTTCTGTAGAAAATTTCAAAGAATTTGCTAATTGGTTCAGTTTATCTACCTTAAGTCTACAAGGATAAATAGCCAAGAACTGGAGGGTCTATAGAGCCCTGTATCTCACCAGTCATTGAGAGAGTTGAACCAATTACCTGCGAGGATGTGCGTGGTCATGTCTTGCCACTGGATGACTTTTCTAACCTAATTTGGAAGCTGCACGTAAAGGGAAGGGGTAAATTTGCCTCTAATGCTAATACAGACCAGGACACAGGCAGCAGACCAGGTCTTCACAGTCTTGATGCAAAATTAGGGGAAGCTGAACTTGGCATGCCCTTTTGCTCTCTGAGAACATAATGTTTACCTTTTTTTTGATTATGAATTTGAACAATAGTTATAGTAGACTATAAAGAAACTTTAAAACAAATATGTTTAGAGAAAGGTGTCTGACTTGTGGCAACTACTAGACAGAATAAATGTAATTGAAGTGTAGCTGGCACAAATTTTGATCTCTTCCATTATACGTATTTAAAAAGCAAAATGCAAACACTGTATTATCATTCACTGTTTTGTGGCTGTACTACACCATGAGTGTTGCATAGTTAATTTTGGGCTTCGGTCTGAATTCCCTGAAACAGTTTGGCTGAAAGAGGGAGAGAAAAGAGTGATTGCATTATCAGTGCATCCCCTGGCCTGTGCGACTCTGCTTCCAGAATTTCTGTCTTTTCCCATACGCTGCCCTCTGTAACTGCCTGCTGTCAGGAATGCACTGTGCCATCAGTCCCTTTTGCTGCAGTGGTCCTTGTGAACCTTCTGGAATTGTGCTCAGTGCTCTCCCCCATTATGCCTGTGATTATGGCCGCATGACAGTGGGACTTCTCTGGTTATGATTTACTGCACATTGCACTCTGATTTTATTTCCTGCACGTAAAAGACTGGCATGGCATGGAGATTTCATTGGCTTGAATTTACGCATTATTCATGAATGATTTAATGGCATTTTGTTGAAAGAGAGGTTGTCTTAAATGTCATGACTTCAGGTGCACAAACTGATATAAAGTGAAATCATATCTCTCACAGTTAACTGCTATTTAAAATCAGGTGAAATTGTCATGATACTTATTAAAAAAAGCCAGTCTCATAGGTTTTTAGCCCTGATACAACATTTCTTTTCATGATAAGATGCAAGTGTTTCATTCCTTTCTAAAAGGCAAGGAGAGGAGCTTTATAAAGCATTAATGCTTTTCATTTTAGATCTGCGAGTCTGTGTAGTAGTTTCAACCTGATTCTATTTAAAGATTTATTAAAAGCTGGGGGAAAGGAGTCTTGTGAGAAACATCTACATATGGTAGTGAGGAAAGGAAAATGGATTCAGTTTCATTTAGATTAGAGAAGACCAAGATGACACTTTTCATTGATATAGCTATCCAAGCACTCAGAATGGCTGAAATGAGCTAATGAGTAGATTGAAAGTGCAGTAAGGTTAAGGGTAGATGATAAACCCAATTTATAAGATGCTCTTATGAAGGTGAGGAAGTATTAGAGGCTGTCATGCACAAGGGCTGTTTATCAGAGGTTTGTGCATGCTTAAGGTTGTGTTCAAATTTAAAGGGCTGTAGTCCTTACACATCACAATTCTGTTACTGAACAGTTTTCAAATTTGGCATAGTGATCCCTCCCTGCAGGAGGGTTTTACTTTTTCTAAAACTTTACTAAAAAATGAACTACATAAAGTTTTTACTTCTGTAAGTTTTACTCAAGTAGAATTATTTTTATAAACAGTCACTGATAAACTGAGCACCATATTGTCTCATCTTATCAATTAGGTTTACAGACATTACGGCCTCCCATTAAAAACTA